AAGAGAGAGAGAGAGAGAGAGAGAGAGAGAGAGAATGGTTTATTCAACATAAAAAACCTTTGCAGCACAAGTGCTGAATTGAGGTTTCCTTACACAAATACGTAGTTTACAACTTAGACTTCGGGAAAGAAAGGAAAAACGTCAGAAATATCTTACTTTGATATCTACAGGTGTTCAAATTTAAGAAATGAAATTAGAAGTAATATTCTGATATTAAAGATGTTTCGTTGTATAATTTTATTATGTGAAATTGCAGCGAGGTAGAAGAAACGGCACTTTTGGGCCCCGGGAAATGTGGCATTTAACATACAATGTAAGGAGACCAAACATGACCAATTGAATGCTACAGCTATAACCATTCCCAATCCAACAATGGCCGTCCGTGTGCATCATCATCAGTAGTGGGGGAAGACAGTGATTGTGTTTTTGTTGATCACAACCAACTGTCCTCCCGGCCCCACTGTAACACCTACTGGGGCTTCAGCCCGGCGGGGGACGGCGATGTGGCGGACATACTCACCCTGGTCTGTGTACACCACCACGCGCTGGTTGTCTGGGTCCACCACCATGATGTGACCGGAACTGTCCGCACAGATGCCTTCAGGATAAAGCAGGTTACTCCCACTGCGACCCAGTCCTCTGAACTTCAACTTGAACTGTCCGTTATCATCATACATGTAGATGAAGTGGCGCCTAAAGTCCGAGATGAAGATGTTGCCTTCCCCGTTCACGGCGACGTACATCGGTGTCATCATCCGCTGCTGAGGACCGACTTCCCACAGCAGCGACCCGTCCGGCTGGAAGGCTTGCACACCACCACTGTAACCGCCAGACCAGGTGACGTAAACGTGGTTAGTGCGCATGCCCACAGCCATTCCGCGGGGCGCCTCCCGTGGTACAGAGTCAGGAAGGTCAAACTTGGCTTTGAGACGACCTTCCCTGTCCACCTGCACCACGGTATCAGGGCTGGCTGGGTACCCACTCATCAAGACCCACAGGTGACCATCTCTGTCGATGGACACATCATATGTCGTCTTTGACGAGGGATACCCCATCCCTGCTGCACCTTGTGGAAACTGGCCCAGGTAGGCACCTGCCATACTGTACACCTGGAGACTGGCTTTGGTCTGGTCAGCCACCCAGATCTTGTTGTCGGGGGAAACTGCGACTCCGCGTGCGCCGCGCAGGTTTCCAGTCCCTGACTCATCGACAAAGATGAAGCTGCTTCCACCAGGCACTTCTACAGAGATACAAAAGAGGGTACTCAAAAACGACCTCCAGAATAACATTGTTTTATGCCTCACTAGTAAGAGAGGAGGTACAGATTGGGAGGTGCAAGATTTTTATCTGATCAGAAAGATTATGATGCAAGTTTAAACTGTAATTTCCAATATAAATACATTTTCAACTGTACAAGTCCCCTTTGGCACGAAACAGCCGTGGCGGACGATGGATACATAAAGAATACATAAAGTCCCCTTGCTCCACCAAATTTGCTTGGAGATTATCTTCTGTGTCAACCCCCGTCTTTTTGGTTGTAAGGCCCTGTTGTATGATATCGTATAAATACGCTTGGCTCCATTTGCAAAGCTGTTTGTTGAATGAGACCGCATGTCCTGGCGAATATATACTTATATATATAAATATATAAAATATATAAACCGCATGAGACCGCATGACAGCACGTCGGCAGAACGTACTGCACCTGCGTGAATCCCGTAATGTATTGTGCATAGCACTTCGGTAGAACGTCTCATATAAGGTTGTATTCGCGTATATAAGGTTAACACCCCGTCTGTAGTTTCCAAATGTTATGTCGGAAAAGATGTCTTCTGCAACAGGCAAAATTTTGATGCAACGTTGACCAAAAATCCAACGAAAACCGTTAAAATACAGGGTTCTGTGCAGGCGCAGTACGTTCTGCTGACGTGCTCCGCATGACCGCAGGGACTGCACAGCAAAGGGACTGTTCTCTGTGAAGGGACTGTTCTCTGTAAAGGGACTGTTCTCTGTAAAGCGACTGTTCTCTGTGAAGGGACTGTTCTCTGTGAAGGGACTGTTCTCTGTAAAGCGACTGTTCTCTGTGAAGGGACTGTTCTCTGTGAAGGGACTGTTCTCTGTAAAGGGACTGTTCTCTGTGAAGGGACTGTTCTCGGTAAAGGGACTGTTCTCGGTGAAGGGACTGTTCTCGGTGAAGGGACTGTTCCCGGTGAAGGATCTGTGCTTATCGAAGGGTCTTTTCTTGATGAAGGAACTATACAGCGAAGGGAATATTCGCAGCGAAAGAGACGTGCTTTAGCCAAGCTGAGCACACATTCTGTAATGCCCCTAATCAAATAAAGCATTTTGCACATTTTATAAGTTGAAGAAATCCCAAGAATTCATGATTTTGATCGGGGCTAACCGTCCTGCAACGTTATACCCAACAGATTTTGATTTTTAATAGATCAGATTGTACAATCATACAAAAACTTTGAATTCTGAAAACAGTCCAGTCAATATTATACTATGGGTTCCATTAACCACATCATGTTTTATATTAGTAAATCAGAACATATTTTACATTCAAACATAATTTAGGAGCTGTAAAAGATAGATTGTTAAAAGTTAAAAAAAAATTAACGGTTCTCGGTCGCAAATGTGCAGATGTCACATCAGCGCACCAAATCCGTAGGGTGTTTTTGGCACCCAGTTAGACTATTAACCTAAGAGGTTCGGTGGGCGTCACTCCAGCGTACATGGTAGGGAAGTAGTGTAAAGTGCCTTTCCCAAGGGTAGAACGTCGGGCCACGGTGAGTATCGAACCCGATACCTATAGGTTCCGAGTCCAACGCTCTAACCGTTGGGCCACTGACGCCATCAGCAAAAGTTCAGAAATACAAATATCCAGCTAATCTTTAGAGGTGTGTATACTGTACATGTTAGACTCATATAAAGAAACATTTATTGTTTCAGGAGAAATCTGCAAGAGGGTCAAGAGAGCCAAATTTACATATGGTTCATGATGTCTAAAATGGTACACCACTACAGTTTCACAGACATTTGTCTGGTTTGGATTTTGAGTTGTATAAAAGCTCCACACTAACGGCAAACCTTTAGTGCTGACAGAGAGCGGCGTGCTGGCTTGTGTAGGTCCTGCTGCTGTCACGTCTACAGGGACTGCGGCAGGGGGACCTCGTCCATTGGTCGGATCGACCTGTGGATTGGTTAGAAAGTTTTAAATTGTAAACACATCAAGATTGTTTTAGGTAACGAAAGAAATAAAACCACAGAATATTTTCAATATTTGTGTTGGAGTTTATTTCCATTTGGTTTGGATTTTGAGTTGGTCCACAAAATATTGGTTGATTATGGAAAAATAATTATAATAATCTATCAATATCCTTGGTCTTGTCTACTCGAATTGCACAGGAGTATATTGCATGTGTAAAAGTGCTGGCCTTTGGCAGAATTCTATTCGATTTTTCATCGCTAATTATGCAAATAACTTACAAGTGTTACATGCCGTGTATGAAATTCCCATTTCGTGTTTTAACAATTATACATAATTGAAATTATGTAAATCATGTCATACTCGGTAGTAATTTGTATCTGTTAATGTTCCACCTGCCATAGATTATATGTTGCATGTATTTCTTGAACCTTGAAGTTACAAAGTTGCATGTATTGAAGTCATTTATATCTCGCAAAACACTGCAGTCATAGAGATTCTGGAAAAATTGTGGAAGTCAAATCATAATCTGCGTTTTTCTCACTCACGGGAATACATCTCTGTGTAAGATACAAGTATGCCATTTATTATAAAAACCTGTTGTTCCTTTCTGGATGTATCCTTTTAAAAGATTTCAAGAAACCGCCACTATAAGGGGATCAAACCTAGACAGCTTTTGTCACCAAAAGAGCAAGACCACAGAATGATCAGGACAAAGAGGAAAAAGACTGCTGCAGTACCAAGAACGGCCGTTACAGGGCCGAAAATCGACCTTGACCTTTGCCTTCTTAGCACCATACAAAAAAATCATCACAATCCATCTTATCAAATTTCTGGAAACAGACACACACAGACACACTTTTCATATATACAAAATAAAGATTTAGATAACATGTGCCGATTTTGTGGCTTAAACCTTACATATAGACGTACGGCACAAAGTTTTGCGTCGGTTACAAACAACTGAACTTTAAGAGAAGACTAATCAGACAGGTACTGACCATGATGACGTCAGCCGATGTCACAGTCACAGCAGGACTTTGCCAGACATGCGCAGTGCCTTCAGTGGTGTCAGTTCCACGATTGGTTGTCAAAGGCTACAAAAGTACATGTAAATATAATCTGTTACTTTGATCCCTGAGGATTCGATCTATTATTTTGAGTGTGTCTGTGAGTCTGTCTGTCAGACGTCAATGTGTGTCTATATGTTTGTATGTGTTTCCGAATATTTATGGTGATGGTATGGGTATAGGTAGGTAAAAATACAGCAAACGGCAAAAGACAAAGGTCAAGGTCGATTTGGAACCTCCTGTTGGCTTTCCTAGGTACTGCAGCAGAACGTTTCTATGTTTTGTTCTGGACGTGTCTTAATGTTTTGTGGCATATAGCTGTTCGTGTCTCTTTAGCAGTTCTGGGACATTGAAAATGGGAAACGATAAAAATACTTAAGATGAGCGTTTAGCTGCCACAGATACGATCAGACAAAATTCATATTGTATTCTTCCTATACGAATGGAGTGTTGAGCAGTACAACCATGCCAAACCACATCTGCATATTCCAGACAAGTAACGTAATTTGAATTTTAAACGTAACGGGGTAATTCTAATATTTTATGAGCCTATGCCAAGACATGTTGGTGGTCAAGATAACTCAAATATGTTTACGGTGCGAAACACGTTTGATTTGGACATTCCAAAATCATGAGGAGGGTGGTTAGTGGGGTATCTTTTAACAGAGAACGACATTTTTCCAGTTTTAGGTGGAAGTAGTTTAATCAAGCTTCCAATTCTTGAGACCAGGACAAATTTTGAATTGAATCAGAGTTAAGCCGATATGCTGATGTGGTCAGGTCATCAACAATGTCAAGCAGGGAGATGTTCTTCTCTAATAAGAAAGGTAACGAGTTTAAATCATTAACAATGCCATCTATGTGATTAACAGTGATGGTTAGCCTCCGTTTCCACTGAGATATATGTAGAGTTGCCGGCTGGAGCTTCTATTATTGATCAGAACCCCCCCCCCCAAAAAAAAACGACCGATCCAGGAACGCCTGAAAAGGAGGCTAAGTGTTGGTCCTAACATAGAGCCCTGGGGGACGCCTGCACCGATCTTTGGCCA